AAAGCCATTTCTTCACCCAGGAAACTGTCCTTGCTACTTATCACCTAATCAGCTCTGCCTCCGGTCTGTATATATGTAGGACACTGTATTAGTCCATTTTCATGCTGCTGATAAAGACATTCCTAGGAATGGACAATTTACAAAAGAAAGAAGTTTAATAGACTCACAGTTCCATGTGGCTGAGGAGGTCTCACAATCATGGCAGAAGGTGAAATTTACATCTCACATGGTGGCGGAGAAGAAAGCTTGTGCAAGGAAACTCACCTTTATAAAATCATCAGATCTCATGAGAGCTCACTATTACAAGAATAGCACAAGAAAGACCCACCCCCATGATTCAATTATCTCAAATTGGGTCCCACCCACAACACGTGGAAATTACGGGAGCTACAATTCAAGATGAGATGTGGATGGGGACACAGCAAAACCGTATCATTGTGCCCTGGCCCCTCCAAAATCTCAGGTCCTTGCATTTAAAAACCAATCATGTCTTCCCAGCAGTCCCCTAAAGTCTGAACTCATTTCAGCATAAACTCTAAAGTCCATGGTCTAAAGTCTCCTCTGAGACAAGGCAAGTCCCTTCTACCTATGAGCCTGTAAAATGAAAAACTAATTACTTCCTGGATACAATGCAGATACAGGAATTGGGTAAATACAGATGTTCCAAATAGGAGAAATTGACCAAAACAAAGTGTCTACAGGTCCCATGCAAGTCCAAAATCCAGCAGAGCACTCAAATCTTAAAGCTCCAAAATGATCTCCTTTGACTCCATATCTCACATCCAGGTAATGCTGAGGCAAGAGGTAGGTTCCCACAGTCTTGGGCAGCTCTGCCCCTGTGGATTTGCAGGGTACAGCCTCCCTCCTGGCTATGTTCAAAGGTTTGCAGCTTTTCCAGGCACACGGTGCAGACTGTCAGTGGATCTACCATTCTGGGATCTGGAGGACAGTGGCCCTCTTCTCACAACTCCACTAAGCAGTGCCCCAGCGGAGACCCTGTGTGAGGGCTTCAACCACATTTCCCTTCCACACTGCCCTAGCAGAGGTTTTCCATGAGCACCTTGCTTCTGCAGCAAACTTCTGCCTGGGAATCCAGGTGTTTCCATACATACTCTGAATTCTAGGCAGAGGTTCCCCAAAGCTCAATTCTTGACTTCTGTGCACCCACAGGCTCAACTCCATGTGGAATCTGCCAAGGCTTGGGGCTTGCACCCTCTGAAGCCATGGCCTGAGCTGTACCTTAACTCCTTTTAGTCATGACTGGAGTGGCAGAACGCAAGGCACCAAGTCCCTAGACTGCACATAGCAGAGGGTCCCTGGGCCCAGACCCTGGAACCATCTTTTCTTCTTAGGCCTCTAGACCTGTGATGGGAGGGTCTGCCGCAAAGAACTTTGACAGTCGGTAGAGACATTTTCCCCATTGTCAGCTCCTTGTTACTTATGCACATTTCTATAGTCAGTTTGAATTTCTCCTCAGAAAATGGGATTTTCCTTTCTATCACACTGTCAGACTGGAAATTTTCCAAACTTTTATGTTCTCCTTCCGTTATAAACTGAATGCCTTCAACAGCACTCAAGTCACCTCTTGAATGCTTTGCTGCTTAGAAATTTCTTCCGCCAGATACCCTAAATCATATTTGTCAAGTTCAAATTTCCACGAATCTCTTGAACAGGGACCAAAGGTGATCAGTCTCTTTGCTAAAACATAACAAGAGTCACCTTTGCTCCAGTTCCAAACAAGTTCCTCGTCTCCATCTGAGACCACCTAAGTCTGGATTTCATTGTCCATGTCATTATCAGCATTTTGGTCAAAGCCATTCAACAAGTCTCTAGGACGTTTCAACCTGTCCCATATTTTCCTGTCTTCTGAGCCCTCCTAACTGTTCCAACCTCTGCCTGTTACCCAGTTCCAAAGTTACTTCCACATTTTTGGGTATCTTTTCAGCAGCACCCCCCTCTACTGGTATCAATTAACTAAAATAGGACATTTTCATACTACTGAAAGAGACATTCCTGAGAATAGGCAATTTACAAAAGAAAGAGGTGCCATAGAGCTGTGGAGGCCTCACAATCAGGGTGGAAGATGAAAGGCATGTCTCACATGGCAGCAAAGAAAATAAGATTATTTGTTCAGGGAAACTCCCATTTATAAGATTTCCTGACACTTTTTCACTATCATGAGAGTAGCATGGGAAAGACCTGCCCCCATCATCCAATTACCTCCCATCAGGTCCTTCCCAGAACACATAGGAATTAAGGGAGCTAAAATTCAAGATGAGATTTGGGTGGGGACCCAGCTAAACCACATCAGGCATTGTGAGGGCAATCCCCCTCCTGGACCTCTCCTGGGTGGATGCAGCCCCACTATGCCCAACCCAGGTACACTTCCCTAACAACTCAGGGTATGCTTTGTACCCTGCTCCTCCTCTGCTGTAAGTCCCTCAACCTCCAACCTGGTTTAAATTTATATTGCAGCATGCATATGTTTGTGTCTGTTTGTAGGAGAGTGGTGGAGAGAAGATTCACAGTCTGGGTGCCTTTTGGTAAATCCTTGCTTCATCCATGATACCACAGATCATGTTACATTTGCTTGCACATCGTGTGTCATCAGGCACTGATACAAGGGAAGGTGGTCAGGGGCCCTGGAGCTTCCAAAAGAGATGGGGGGAAAAGCGACTTACAAAAGTGCGTATAGAACAAAATCTTTGTGTAAGACAGGAAGTGCTTGGACAAAACAGGAAGAAAGAAATTCTTTTGTCTTGTCTTCCACCAAAGCTCCTTGGAGAGGCTCATATTTTAGAGAAAAAAGAGATATTTCATATGGCCAGAAAATGTAGTTACTCACAGTCATCTATTCCCCAAGGTTTCTGGTGAATTGTGCTCACATCCTATTTGGCCCTGGGTCCCATTGCATTTATCAGGCCAGGATGAGTTCCCAGTGGTTTTACACTTATTTCCCTAGGTATCAGGTGTGTAGTGCCCATTTGGAATCATAGAAAATGCACGGCAGAGTAGAAATGGAACTCAGATGACTTCAACAAAGTCCTTCATTGTATAAACGAGGACACTGAGACACATAATGTACTTTGGCTGTCCATTTGAGTCTCCTACTTGGGTGATCTGATTGGGGAAAAATGGAAGACAAGGTCTTGGATGTTTGAGAAGTTCAAGTTCAGGGCCTGATTAGATTAGTTTTATTCTCAGAATACCACTTGGCCTGTTTTCTAGAGATGCAAATTTCTGGTGGGTTACAAAAAAAAAAAATGCACATTTGTGGGGCTCTCACTTCCATTCTTTCTTTTACTAGGGAAGGACCAAAGCCTCTTCCCAAACATTAAAAAACCCAACCATGTCCTCCAGACATACCCTTTTCTTGGCTCCCCAAGCTAGCTCAGGAGCAGACAAACATTCCTCCCATCATTTTCTGCTTCCCTTTCTCACAGCGTCAATTTAATTGACTTTTCTGTGAATCCCAAGCAACAGGAAGAAAGAGCCCCCAGACTTCATGGTGCATTTTGTTTTAAGTTGTTTAAATTACTTAGGTCTAACTACTTGTTCGGGTTTTGGTGTTTATCTTCTCCAAAACTTATTTGAAATTTGGTCCCGAATGCTGCAGTGTTGGAACGTGGGACCTGATGAAAGGTGATTGGGTTATGAGAGCATGGTCCTCGTGAATGCATGGATGCCATTGTTGTGGGAGTAGGTTCGTGTTGTGAGCATGGGCTGATATAAAGTGAGCCTGGTACCTCCTGCTTACTGTCTTTTGCCTGCATGTGCTTGTCCTTCTGCTTTTCTGCCATGTGATGACACAGTTTGGAAGCCCTCACCAGAAGCTACCACCATGTCCTTGGGCATCCCAGGGTACAGAAATGTGAGGCAAATAAACTCCTTTTCTGTATAAATATCCAGTCTCAGGCACTCTGTTATAGCAACAGAAAATGGACTAAGATACCACCTTAGGAAAAATGATCTTTTTATAAGACTTAGCCCAGTTTCCCAGGGAGTTTATTTGTTTGCATTGGTACTGGGGTCATAACTTCGTGTACTATCAGTGATACCTGGCCTTCTGCTTTATAATCCTTATCTCCCTTCAGCAGGCACCCCTCGAAGGAATGAGCAGGACTTTGACATTTTTGTTTCTCTGCTATAAAATACCAAGGCTGGCAGGATGTGGTGGCTCAGTCTGTAATCCCAGCACTTTGGAAGGCTGAGGCCGGCAGATACCAGAGGTCAGGAGTTCAAGACCAGCCTGGCCAACATGGCGAAACCCTGTCTCTACCTAAGATACAAAAATTAGGTGGGCATGGTGGTGTGTGGCTGTAATCCCAGCTACTACGGAGGCTGAGGCAAGAGAATCTCATGAACCCACCGTGATTGCACAACTGCACTCCAGCCTGGGCAACAGAGCAAGAATCTATCTCCAAAAAACAAAACAAAACAAAACAAAACAAAAAACATACCATGGCCCAGGGAGTTTAGGCTGGTAATACTAACCACCAAAAGCTTACAATCTAGTTGCAAGAAAACATCACGCCCCCATCGTTAAAGACAATGTGAAACAACATGTGAATAAGTGCCTGATGGAGGATTAGAGGCAAGAGGTATTGTTAAAGATGAAAACTATTTCCACGTTTGTTCCTCAGGCCTGTTTCCCAGGTTGGTTAATAGTGGTCACATCCCACTGGGCCCTGGGTTCAAGGCCAAGGTAGTGTTTGCTTATGTAAACCACAGACACTGCTTCAATGACACGTGCTTTCCCCATCTCTAAAGGAGGAATAAAACCTGTCCTGCTGACTTCTCAGAGGATCAGTTTCAGACAGAAATAAGATAAAGCTTGCACAGTGCTACCAAATGGGGGACCTCCATAGCTCGCTTCTGTGGCTGCTCCAAGGGCCTAGATTTAACTCTTATCAACTATTTTGCACATGTTGACCCGAGCTTCTCAACAGGCCAGAAGCAAATACATATATTACGGAAGAAGCAGGAAGGAGGCACATTACAGGTAGAAATTTTATGATGTGCTTTATGGTTTACAAATCACTTAAAGTTCACCATTTATTTTGATTCTTATAAGAACTTTCTTTATGGAAAGAATCATTATCCTCATTTCATCTCCTGGATAAACAGTAAATCATGTAGCACATAGACGGTTTTCCCAAGGCTTTGGAGGAGATGGTAGAGCTGGGATTTGGATCTAGTTTTCTCTGAGTCAAATTCCTTCGATCTTTTCTCAAAGGCACTTTCATTTTGTACTTTAACATCTGAGCAGGCACAGAACACATGCTGTATCTTGGGTTCAGAACACATGCCATGTCTTCTTACTTCCCTTGCCCCTTTTTTCCCTGACAACATCACACCCGAGGAACAGCGCAGAGGCGGTGACTGACTGGGGAAATGGTGATGCCCATTCTAAACTTCAGGCTCAGCTTCTCATTGTCTGGGGGCCTGAAGGTAAATTTTTGCACAAGGGAAGTGAAGAAAATAAACAGCTCAGATCTGGCCAACTGTTCTCCGAGGCATGCCCGCTTTCCTGTAAGACAAAATCAAAAGACAAGTTATCTTCACAGGTGGCCGTGGTGCCTAGCAGAGATTGGTACCCTCAATCACATCCTCGAAAAACCAGAGCAAAGTAAGGGCCTATAGGTTCCAGGGCTTTCTGGCCAGCAGCTTATTTAAGTCTGACAACCACTTCGGTTCACAATGCATAGAAAGCAGAAGTCCAGAAACACAAAGTCAAATGCCTTCAGGGGTCAGGCAGGCGAGCTTCCAGGGTGAAATTGCAGGGTGTAGGACCACAGAAGTGGAGCGCCTGGGCTGAGCAACAAAGTGGGTGTTTAGCCTAGGAGAACAGCTTACTGGAGGATGAGGGATAATGTGAGAAGAGCCCCCCTGTCCCAGCTGAGGATATCCTAGATAAGCCATCAGCCTGTTGACCTCTAGCCAAGATCAGAGAGATCAAGGGGGTCCAGCCAAGATTAGCAGAGCCACATATCTGACTTCTGGACTTGTGAGCAATAAATCATGCTTACTGTTTTAAGCTGCAGAGTTCTGGATTCTGTTATGTAGCAATATGCTAATTGATGAATATGTTATGAAACTGGTAAATCCTAAAGTAGAGAAGCCTTTAAATGGGGAAGTAAGCTACATTCTAGTCATACAAGAGAGAACGCTATACTAAAATACGAAAACTTGAGTTTTAGGCCCTGTTCTGCAAGTTCCTTGAGCATAGAAACTTGGATAAGAAACAACTCTTTCTTATTTTTAGTTATCTTAAATTAAAAGGAGATGCCGATCCATTTCCTATCTATTAATAACTTCAAATGAGGCATCTAAGAGAGTGCAATACAACTCTCAATAACAAAGCAGTGGAAAGCCACCATGTATATTTTTTAAAATACTGCTGCTAATGCAGATAAGATATGTGTGTGTGTGTGTGTGTGTGTGTGTGTGTGTATGTGTGTATTTTTTTTTAAACAGGAGACATGAAGCAACTCTGAGAAAGAGGCTTCAGTCATGTATAGAAAATGTATCCAGGCATCACTTAGCCTAGAAGATCCTTTTTCCTTTCAAAGCCATGGACTTCTAACAAGATTTCCCCCATCATAGATGCAGCTAGTATTGGGTGAAGCATTTTTGTGGAATGCAGAGGTCACATTGCTAGCATTTCCACATGAATGTGGTGCGAGAGCCAAAGAACAGGAATAATTAATTGTCAAAATTGGAGCATAACAGCTGAAACTTTGTGCTGTAATACAAAATTTGAAACTATTGTAGACAGGAAGACTGCAAGATATTCCTACATCTTATATCAGCTTTCTTATTCGAAGTGAATTGTCCAATGTGAGCACAGGTGACAGAATCAGATGAAGAAAGACAAAGGCAGAATCTATCATCAGAATCAGCCCAGAGACACCTAAGGCAACACAGCACATGGGCGAGCATGGACTTTGGAGTCACACCAATGTGGGTCGTTCCACTTCTGCCCTTTCTGAAGCTTAGTGTCACCCTCAGCAAAATGATCTTGTCTCAGAACATCAATACATACTTTAAAGTAACAATAAGCAAACTATCATGGGTTCCACAGTGTGGGTTTGCATAGCAGTTAGTTATTTTCAGTATATAGTGTTAGGAAAAACACACACTTCAGTTTTTGATAAGTCTGGTTGACTTTGATCCTAGCTCTGCCATATGAGGTTAATGACTTTAGTTTCTATACTTGGTTAAGCCTCAGTTTCCTTATCACTAAAGTGGCTATAGTAATATAAACTTTACATAATTACACTAGAACATACGCATCTTGGTAGCAGTTTTGCTTTGTTTTCTGTGTCACTCATTCATTGTCATGCCTCCAGGGCTGAATGTTTTGACACATAATAGATGCTCAGTAAATATTGACAGAATTAAAGAATTATGAAATTATTCGAAACAATCTTTGCAAAATATCTAACTCAAAACCTGGAATATACTAAGAATTTTCGTTATTGATTTTTCAATGTCATGAGTTAAAAATATCTTTTTGGACCTGGTTATCCTAAAAACAGGAGAAAAAAAGAGATTTCACTGTGGTTTATTTCCTTACTTTCAAGTTAAATATTATATAAATCTATTAATTAGATTTTTAAAAAGAATTAAAATTTACAAACTACAAAGAACCTTTTCAAGGGAGTCCTTAGAGAGTCGAATCCAATCTACTTAAGCCACTGACCGATGTCCATGTGGCAAACAAGTTTCTCCTTCCCCTTGTTCCTCTCTGTCTCCTATTATAGATCAGCTCTGTTTCTGTATGAGTGGGCAGCCCTGAAAAGGAACTGAGGACATTTTAAAATGTAGTAAAGAGGGCAGCAACTGGCCGGGCACAGTGGCTCATGCCCGTAATCCCAGCACTTTGGGAGGCTGAAGTGGGTGGATCGCCTGAGATCAGGAGTTCCAGACCAGCCTGGCCAACATGGTGAAACCCTGTCTCTACTAAAAATATAAAACATTTGCCTGGCATGGTGGTGCACACCTGTAATCCCAGTTACTCAGGAGGCTGAAGCAGGAGAATTGCTTGAATCTTGGGAGGCGGAGGTTGCGTGGAGTCTGGGTCTCAGTCCCCTGTGTTTCAGAGGACAGAACGCAGAAAAGCAGCAATCTCCAGCAGAGGCAAGGGAGGGCTTAGGAAGTAAGGGCAGGCTGAAGCAATGCCCAGCCCTGGAACTCCCAGGGCTGTCCCCAACAACAAGATGGAGTGAGTCACACTGGCCAGGCTGTCTGGAGACATTCCAACAAAAGCAAGGGAATACAGGGAGAGGACAGGGAGAGTGGGAGAGGGGCCCTGGACTCCCATCCGCCTGTTTATTACAACTTACCTATTGAGAAAGGTATAAAGGCTTCCCTTTTCTTAAACTGTCCATTCTCCAGAAAATGCTCTGGATTGAACGTGTCAGGGGTGGCCCACTCTGTGGGGTCCCTGTGCAGCGCCGTCAAATTGGTCAGGATCATGGTCCCCTAGAGAAGGCAGCAGAGACTCAGGCAAGGCTTGACCCATGAGAAAGCACATCTATGCAGAGGGGTGGTGGTCCTTGGGCTTCCATGCTGGGAGCCTGACCATACTCTGCACTGCCCCACCCTCCCACACTGTGGTTCACAGTCTCCTGTGCCCCAACCCAGGGCCCTCCTCTTTGTCTGGGACAGCTTAAAAATTAGATTGAATTTTCCTGCTGGGAACTTTAACAGAGGTGTTTGGCTACTGTTGACTGCAGGATGGATCTTCCTTACAGGGATAGTTCGGTTTAGGTAGGTCTTGGAAGGAGGGGACATGAATATACTGATGAGAGAATAATCCAACAGTCAGTCAGCATTGTACCAAAACCAGCCGAGCTGCTCAGTGAAACCATAATGATGGCGGCCCTACCAAGGTAAAAGACATCTCATTCATCTTGGTTTTGCCATTCTCTTTCCTTCAGCGTCTAGGACACAGCACCTGGCACCCCACTCCCCACTGTATGTTTAGTAATAGATCAGGTAGAGCCATGGAAGGAGCCCCTGTCCATCCAGGTACATACTAAGAAACACAGGAATCCCTGGAGGGAGGTTTTCCCTTACTCTGCCTTTATCCAACCCATCAGCGAGACTGGTCAATTTTGCTTTCACCTCCATTCCATGCCTGCCATGCCCACTTAGCCCAGACTGCTTCCTGGCTTCCGGGACCCCTGTAATAGTTTTCTGTGCCCCAAAGCCTCTTGCCTCTTTCAATCTGCTTCACACTCTGGAAGTGAGTGAGCTTCCAGCATGATTAATTCATGTCACTCCCCGCCCCACACAGCCTCCCACTGCTCATACCTAGGACTTGACACACTTCAATAGTTACCCATTGCTCTCAGGGCAAAGCCCCATCACATGGTCCCTGTCTGGGCCACTCTCTTCCTCTGCCTGCACTCCCACTACAGGACCCTTCTTTCAGTTTCTCAAACATGCTGTGTTCCTACTTATTTCAAAACCCTTTTTAAATGCTGTTTGCCTTGCTAGGAATGTTCTTCCTCCCCACTTGGTCATCAAGCTGACTCTTAATCATCCGTGAATCCTCAGCTCAAATATCACTTCCTTTTGGAATCCTTCCCTGACCACTCCTGCTAATCTGTGTTTTTAAAGATCACAGTGAGTTTTTTGGGGGGAAGGCAGTTATCATGTTTCTAAATATGTACTTGCATGATTAATTTCCTCAGGGTTGTTTTGCCAGACCTGAGCATTTCAGGTACTTAGTGTTTGTTGAATTCATTCAAATATTAACATATTAATATAATATTAATTCAAGAAATGGATGTCAATAATTTTCAATATTAGCAATAACTGCTACTGTAAGCACTTTCTGTACTAAGCACTAGGTTAAATGGCCAACAGGCATGATTTCATTTTATCTCCAAGTGGATCTTGTAATGTAGGTTTCAATGCATTTTACAGATGAAGAAGTTGAAGCTTTGAGAGGTAAAATAATGGGCCCAGAGGCACACAGTAGGAAGAGGCAGAGCTATGATTTAAACCAAGCCTATTTGGAGTCAAAGTGATAGGTTGTACGTAGACTGTGTAACAGACAGTCACTTCAATTTGTCAGTTCCCCAGATAGTTATTAAAGCTGTCAAAAATCAGTGGAAGAGGTCTGTTGAGCTGAGCTGGTTTCCTTGAGTTAAATAAACTGCTAGAAAAACACAAACAGCACCTGGGGAATTTAGACCTCAGCCTTTACCCATTGGATGGTCAATCAGTAAGGAAACAGTAAATGTAACAGCTGCAGGGATAGTAACCAAGCAGTGTCCAATGGGTGATCTCTTCTGATTCTGTCTCTTGAGATTTTCCCCAGGTCTGACACACTCAGAGGTACTTTAACAAACTGGAAGAGATCCACATGACCATAGTGGTGAGAACGCAAGGGAAGGAACTGAAGCTGTGCAGTGTGTGGAGAGAGCACTAGAGGGCACAGGATGGCTGTCTGCAGATATCCAAAGGGTGGCGAGCAGGGACATCAGAATTCTGTTTGTTGCAGAAACAGAAAATGAAATACTGCATGTTCTTACTTATAAGGGGAGCTAAATATTGGGTAGACATGGACATGAAGATAGGAACAACAGACACTGGAGATTATTGGAGGAGAGAGGGGGAGAAGGGTTGAAAAACTACCATTTGGGTACTATGCCAGCCACCTGAGTAATGGTTCAATCGTAATCCAAACTTCGGCATCATGCAATGTACCCTTGTAGCAAAACCTACACATGCACTCCCTGAACCTAAAACAAAAGTGGAAACAAAAAGAAACAGTTCCATTTGTGAGTACAGGGAATTTAACCGAGACCAATGAAAAAATAGCAGGGAGATGCTTTTAAAGTTAAAGTAAAGCAACTCCTGTGAAGGGAGCACAGTGTTGTACAAAAAAAAAAAAAACAAAAACAAAAAAAACCAAAAAAACAACAACAAAAAAAAAACGGAACAGATCTGCTTTCAGATCCCAACTCTGTGTAGTGGAGAGATCTCATGCAAACCTAATTGTTCTGAGGCTTCACTTTGCAATCCATAACATGGGAATAACAAGCTTCTTCTGAGTAAACTTATTCAGAGAATTGAGTAAGACATCTTGAAAGGGCCACGTTGTCCATGAACCATAATCATTGCTTGATAAATGTTCGCTCCTTTCTTTCCCTTTCCAGTAATGAATATTGCACATTAGATTGGCTACCTCGTAAGATAATAAATTACACATCATGGGACTATAAGAAAAAAACTGGAAAAATACCTGTGGGGATATTATGTTAAAAATACCAGCATTAATGTGATGTTGGCCCAGGTGGTCTTAAATGTCCTTTCACATTTTAACATTCTAGAACCCCAGGATCGGGAAGCAGAATTTCCCAAAGTTTAACAGATCCCTAGTCTGGTGAGATGTTCTACCAAAACCAAAACCAAAACCAAAAATTTTTCTATGATAAAGTCTGACCTAGAACTGCTTCCTGTCGTGGGCTCACAGATTCACAATGCACATTAGATAGTAAAAACACTGAGAAGCCCCACAGCAAAGGAAAGTCAGTCTTTATCTAAACATATTTGATGCAAGAATCCTTCCTGCTCTCTTCCCCGCCATACCTATATATATCTATTTGAAGACTACACATAAAGAAAGTCTAGTATTATATCAGGTATAAGGTATCTTTCGCTTCCATTTAAATGATTCCTTAGGACAAGAATAAATGTCACTACTCAAGTTCAAGTTTCTACCATCTAAAAGTTGGGCTTGAAGACCTGAGGCCAGGCATGCTTAATTACCTTGGGCAGGTGGTACCCAGCAAAAGTACTGTCAACTGTGACTTCCCTGGGAACATTCAGGGGGACGATGTTGCCCATTCTCTGCACCTCATGGATGACAGCATTGGTGTAGGGCATGGACTCCCGGACAGCGGTGCTCGGCTGCTGCCCCTGGCCGATCACTCTGTCAATCTCAGCTTGTACTTTTTCTGGTAAAGAAAGGAGGGTTCCATTATTTTTTCAACATTTCTACTTTATTTTAAAGAGGTATGAGTGGTCTCCAAAATCTCATCTGTTGTATTTCAATTAGTGACCAGGTTGCAAGAAATAAAATGGTTCTTATCCTTTTGAAAGGCTCATTCAGAAAACTACAAACTCTGTAAATCTTTTTGAGCCTCGTTATGCTATGTGGTGGAATAATCATGATTAACATGACTAAACTCCATCAGAGCCCAGCAGACTTGGTGTCTGGTGAAGACCCACTTTCTGGCATATAAACGGCACTTTCTCACTGTGTCCTTACATAGTAGAAAGAGTGAGGCAGCTCTCTGGAGTCTCTTTGATAACAGTACGACTCCCATTCCTGAAGTCTAATCACCTCCCAGAGGTCCCAGCTCCTGTATCATCATACTGGTAACGAGGTTTCAACATGTAAATTTGGGCTGGGGTGGGCCAAGTATTCAACACATAGCAGATCTACAGACTCTAAGTTCTCAAGTAGACATGTAAGAGTGGAGAGTGGGCCCTGAGGTGAGACCAATCGGGTTGCAAACACTTGCTCCACAATATGGATGCTGCAAGTTACTTACACTCTTTAAACCTCAGTTTCCTTATTTGATCAGTGAGGATAAACCTACCTTCATGTTTTGAGATTTATATGAACTGGTGTTTTGAGATTTGTGTGAACAGATAGGACTGCTACCAGTTTCTTTCACTGGTTGAGTGCCCACCTAACCAATGATAGAAAATGATAGAAACTGGTAGCAATCCTATCTCTTTTCTCTATGTCTAGAGTAATTGAGATTTTAGCTGGTGATCTGATTGTCCGTTAAAGAATATATTTTGCAGGCCCTATTGTAACTAAGTTGACCATATTACTAAATTCTGGCTAATAGAATGTAAGCAGAAGTGATGTTTAATCCTTAAAACAAGCTCTTTTTTATTGCATTTTAGGTTTTGGGGTACATGTGAAGAACATGCCAGATTGTAGCATAGGTACACATTCCCCTTCACCTATATCTGGCATTTCTCCCCATGCTATCTCTCTCCAACTCCCCACCCACTGCTGTCCTTCCTTTATTTCTCCCCAACAACCCCAGTGTGTGATGCTCCCCTCTCTGTGTCCATGTGTTCTTGTTGTTCAACACCCACCTATGAGTGAGAAAATGTGGTGTTTGACTTTCTGTTCTTGTGTCAGTTTGCTGAGAATGATGGTTTCCAGGTTCATCCATGTCCCTACAAAGGACACGAACTCATCGTTTTTGATGGCTGCATAATATTCCAAGGTGTATATGTGCCAAGTTTTCCCTGTCCAGTCTATCATCGATGGGCATTTGGTTTAGTTCCAGGTCTTTGCTATTGTAAACAGTGCTGCAGTCAACATTCGTGGCATGTGTCCTTATAGTAGAACAATTTATAATACTTTGAATATATACTCAGTAATGGGATTGCTGGTTCAAATGGAATTTCTATTTCTAGGTCCTTTAGGAATCGCCACACTGTCTATCACAATGGTTGAACTAATTTATAGTCCCACCAACAGTGTAAAAGTGTTCCTATTTCTCCACATCCTCTTCAGCATCTGTTGTCTCCAGATTTTTTAATGATTGCCATTCTAAGTGGCATGAGATGGTATCTCAATGTGGTTTTGATTTGCATTTCTCTAATGACCAGTAAGGATGAGCATTTTTCATATGTTTGTTGGCCTCAGGTATGTCTCCTTTTGTAAAATGTCTGTTCATATTCTTCTCCAACTTTTGAATGGGCTTGTTTGTTTTTTTCTTGTAAATCTGTTTTAGTTCTTTGTAGATTCCGGATATCAGCCCTTTGTCAGATGGGTAGACTGCAAAATTTTTTTCTCATTCTGTTGGTTGCTGATTCATACTAATGACTGTTTCTTTTGGTGTGCAGAAGCTGTGGAGTTTGATTAGGTCCCATTTGTCTATTTTGGCTTTTGTTGTCAATGCTTTTGGTGTTTTGGTCATGAAGTCCTTGCCTACGCCTATGTCCTGAATGGTTTTGCCTAGATTTTCTTTTAGGGTTTTTATGGTGTTAGGTCTTATGTTTAAGTCTTTAATCCATCTGGAGTTAACTTTAGTGTAAGGTGTTAGGAAGGGGTCCAGTTTCTGCTTTCTGCACATGGCTAGCCAGTTTTCCCAGTATCATTTATTAAACAGGGACTCCTTTCCCCATTGAGAACAAGCTCTTAAAGGAAGGATATGTGCTTCCTCCCAGTTTTCCCTTTCTACTGGTGGAAAGCCTTTTGGTGAGCCATCTGACAGAGTGCTAACAAGGGCATCATTCATTCTAGTCACAACAGAGCAACAAGTTGGAAGGAGTTTGAAACCCGAATGGCTTTGCAAAGTCTAGTTTGGATGTTTTCTTACCTGAAAGAGAAATAAACTATCATTTTTGAAAAACATTTTAATTGGGGGCAAAATACCCATAACATAAAATTTACTATCTTAGAATTTTAAAATGAACAGTTCAGTAGTATTAAATATATTCATGTTATTATGCAATCACTCTACAGAAATTTTTCATCTTGCAAAACTGAAGTCGACTGACTTTATTGATTTCCCTCTTGCCTCTGAGTTTCTTGAGGACAGGGACTCTCTCTTTCATTTGTATTACCTGAGCCCATCACAGTTCAGCCTCTATATCCCCTCCCTCAGCCTCTGGCCACCACCATTCTACTTCATTTCTCTATGAATTTCACTACTCTAGATAACTCATGTAAGTTGGGGGATATAGTGCTTGTGTGTTTGTTGCCAGCCTTTTTAACTGAGCATGACCCTGGATGCAATATACCTAAATATACACATATAAAGCATGCATTTGTGCAGATGTAGATGAAAAAAATCAAATTCTGTGAACAAACTTACCTTAGTACATGGGAAGCACTCTGATCTTTTCTATTTTAAGAAAACAATGCTGGTCTTGGTCTACTAAATTGATTTTATGCCTTATTAATAAATGATTACCCACAATGTTAAGAGTTCCAATGCCCCATGTGTTCAAACTTTTCTGGAAGCTGGAGGAAGAAAAATGATTAGAACATCATTCTTGAGTGGGCTATAGTCTGTGAGGAAGCTATATGAATAATATAGAATAAGCCCAGTAATAAAGGCACATTACATCATCTCTGGAGGGAGATAATGCTAATAATTTCCTAGGGGAACACAGAAGCATTTTAGGGAGGTAGTACTTAGCAGATTCTTCAAGAAGATCTAGAAGTTTCTTATGTAGGAAAATTGGGCAAGTAGAGGGAAAAGCACATATCATGACAGAGAGGTATAAATACAGACTGCAAAGAAAATGACATGTCATTTATTGAGGCCACTCTGGAGGGTAGGTGGGGCCAAGGCTGGACAGGCAGAAGGAGCATGTAATATACACCAGACTAAGGTGTTTGAACATTATCCAGAAGGAAATGGGATGGCATCATTTAAAGGAAGGGAAGGGCACAACTAGATTTTTACATCAGACAGTAACTGTTTCCTGGAACTAGCATAATGTCGACTGACTTCATTGATTTCTCTCTTGCCTCTGAGCTTGTTGAGGACAGTGACTCTCCCTTACATTTCTATTACCTGGCTCATCACTGTTGAGACAGAAAATGTGAATAACGTGCAGTTTCTGAGTCCTCATCACCTCATGATTGTTGTCTTTTCGTCCTACAGTGCTACCTTCTGGCCCCGACTTCAGGCAGCACGCCCCAGGAGGCACTATTCTGTCCTGGTCCAGGCTCACTCACTGACATGCTCACCTTGAATTTCTGGGTAGAGGGCCATGTAAAGCAGAGCCCATCTCAGTGTAGTGGAAGTTGTTTCGGTTCCAGCAAAGAAGAGGTCCAGGGCGCTACAGATGAGGTTTTCTTCATGGAAACTTGAAGTAGGATTGTCTGTGTGCTAGAAAGGACAATGTTTCATGTTATTTATCGCCCCGATACACAGGCACTTCATCCTAGGAGGAAATTTGGACGAAAACGTCCCCAAAAGAAACAGTTTTCTCTTTGGCCTTTTCAGAAGGCAGACTCTTATTACAGCAATATCATTAGCACTGTTCTGCTCCAAGTGCTGGACACCTTTGGATACATGAAAATCAAGACAAGTATTTTCTTATGTCTGTAATCTGAGGGAAGCTTTTAGTACAGTGCAACGAGAATAGGATGTGAATAAGACAGATTTGGCTTCCAATATTAACCACTTCAATTAGTAGCTGTATGACCTAGGGCAAGTTACTTAACCTCTCTGTTCTTCGTTTCCTCTTTTATAAACTGGAAATAGCAATGCACACCCCTTAAGAGGGCATTATGAATTATATGAGTACAAGGGCACATAGCAAGTACTCAACAAACGTTTGTACTGATAACCGAAAGGACAAATGAAATTCCTCTTAAGAACAACAATTCTCGTATCTCCTCATTCATCTTTTCTCTTCCAATTTGAAGCTCACTGATTCTACCAACCATACCTCATGATACTCTGTCATCTTTACCACTATCCTTTGGAAGCTTCAATTTGTCCAACGTTTCTCTTGATGTAAATGGGCCCTTCCTTACCTGCACAACATATAGAGAGTCTCCTCCTCTCGGGAGAAAACAATACTTCTATAAATGTCATGCCAATAAGGTAAAATTAGAGGGAAGGAAATCCACCATTCTTTCCACTCCAGAATGAAGTCTCAATACCTGATGTGTAAAGATTATAGTATTGATGCAGTAATATTTGTTAACCAGAGGGATAACTGTGTTAAAGGCCATGCGTCCAATGTGGGTTCCTCCTCATTTCTGGCCGATAATGTTGGAAGGTGAATGGTACAAGACAGAAGGGAAGGCAAAAGCCAAACTCAGGCCTTAATAAAGTTGGTCTTTAAACTCTGGGATCCAACTCAGCTTTACTTGTGAGCTCTATGGGCTTGAGATGGGGTAGGTAATTGGGTCCAGGCCCAACCAATGATAAAACAGGGCTTTGAAGATTAACTGCTATGTTCTCCCTTTGTATATAGCTCCAGATAACAGTAGAGAGTAGGGGATGGGGATGAAAAGGCAGTATTTGGGCATTCACACGTCTTCAAGCCAAATGCCATTAACCCTCGTCTTTATCTTTAAGTGCATTACCAATCCTTGAGTTAATGCTATATTTTCTGAAATATTGCCCCTATATTTAGTCCTGTAGCAGGCTGAATAATCACCCACAAAGATATCCGTCCACATCCCAATGTCTGGAACCTAGGGATGTTACTTTATAGGGAAACAGAAAGTTGGCAGATGTGGTTAAGGATTTTGAGATGTGCAGATTATCCTGGATCATCCCAGTGGGCCCAGTATTATCATAATAGTCTTTATTAGAGAGAAATCAGAGGGTCAAAGACAGAAACAAAGGATGGAAGCAGAAACCAGAGAGAAGAGAGATGCTGTGCTTCTGACTTTGGAGATGAAGGAGGGGGCCACAGCTAAGGGATACAGGCAGCTCTAAGAAGCTGAAAAAGTCATAGAGACAGATACTCCTCCAGGGTATCCACCAGGAGCCAGCCTAGTCAAAACCTTACATTTAACCTAGTGAAGCTCATTTCATGCTTCTGACATCCAGAACTGTAAGAGAAGGAATCTGTGCTATTTTAGGCACCAAGTTTGTGATCATTTGTTACAGCAGCAGTTGGAAACTAATATATTCCTATTTGTGCTTTAAGAACAAAATGCAAAATGACTTTGGTTTTCCCACCTTTGACATTTCTTTGAGGTAAGCATCAATAAAGTCTCTTGTTTCTGCAGGATTCCAATCCCTCCTGTGTTTTTCAATCATATGAGAAACAAACAATTTCAGTTTTTCCCAGTGACTGAAGAGAGTTTGGTGGGGTCCAGGCAGGAGTTTCATTAGCCATGGAAAGATACAGTAGAGCTAATTGACAAAAACAGAACAATCATGCAGACAACATGGTGCCATCTTTTCACTTTTTAGACAACAGATACCATCTTCTCTTTCCATCTTTTTATTTGCTAACACTTAACCCTTGGTTATCCTTGATCCCTCTTTTCTCTCTCACCCCTCTAGCAAAACAGTTCAGCTCTCTGTCAAAAATATATCCAGTCTCAGACCACTCTCACCACCCAAGAACATGCCAAGAAAAAAAATACTTATGAGACATCTGGGGACATCCAAGCACTGCATGAGTGTTTGAAGGCATTAAATAATTATTGTTCATGTTTTTTCAGGTGCAGCGGTATTATATTTTTGTTAAAAGATCTTTTTAGAAATATATGCTGAAATATTTATGGATCAAATAATTGAGGTCTGTAATGTGCTCCAAAATAATTCAGGGACAGTGGGAATGTCGTAGTAGGGCATAGATGCAGATATAATGAGAATGGCCACGTGTCGATAATTGTTAGAGCTCATTGATGAGTACACAGTGATTCGTGATTGTATTCTCTCTTTTATATACATTAGTAATTTCAAAAATAAAGTCCTTTTTTTAAACCAAAAAAAATTTTTCAACCAAAAAAATTTTTTTTAATTTTGTAGTGGTATACTGCATAATTCAAGGACATTCTTTTTGCTGAGAACACCAAGAAAAGATGAAAAAGATACATGTGTACCCATATAAGCACACACACATACAAACCAAGGTAGTGAGGTAGTTTCCAGGATAAGGCTTAGGGGAAGAAGAAAGCCCAGGGGATTAACTCAATACTTGGGGTAAATTTTTCCTCCACACTCCTGTTCCCAGAAATGTCTTCCAAATTCAGCAAAGTATCTGAGAGACCAAGAAGCTGAGAAGAGTTTTAGACAAAGACTCAAAGGTTTAGAGTGAGAAAAATTGGGGTGTACGGCCCACCAAGGAAGGAGTGAGGACATTCTTTTTACGGAGAACACCAAGAAAAGATGAAAAACATACATGTGTACCCATAATCACACATACATAAAAACCAAGGTACACTCTATGGAATTAGAAGGGCTACACTATATGGAATTAGAAGATGGATGATATTAAGTGCTGGTAGGCATGCAAACAATGTAACGAGCTTGGAAATTTTCAAATATCTTTTATATCCAGATACATATATAAAAGAAATGAATGGATGTAACCCAAGAACATTTGCACAAGAATGTTCATGGCAGCTTTATTCATAGTATCCAAAACTTGGAAACAACTTAAAATGTTCATCAGTACAGAATAGATTAACAAACAGTGGCACATTCATACAATGAAATACTAATCTGCATTAAAAAAGAGCAACCAACACAGATGAATCTCAAAGCAACTTGCTGAGGAAGAAACTGGATACAGAAGAGAACCTCTGAGGGAAGACGGAACTGGATGCGGAAGGACACAGGGGAGAGAGACTCAAAGGCTATGGCAATATTGTTGTTGTTTTTTAAAAGAACAACATAGGTGGATAGGTGTATGTCATATAACATGTGGTACTTTACATGCCTGTTAGAAATGGTTTTTGCATATAAATATTTGATATGACTTAAAAAACTAACATTAATCAATTGATTTTAAATAAGTTTGTGTTGAATTCAATTGTGAAAGATTATATTTTAGTTTCATAAACCCACAAAAAACTACAAGGAAAAACCCGTCTGTGTCTGACATTGGCCCCAATTTGCTTAACTAAGACATGGAAAGAAAGCTGCCTTACCTGGCACGTCTTTGAAGCTTCCAAACGTATGACTTCATCCAGCAATTTCAGCAGCTCCTGAAACTGACCATCCTGGTACTCAAAGCGTTTCCCAAAAGTGATGGAGCAAATGATATTGGAAACTGCATTGTTGATCTTGAAGTGAGGGTCAAAAGGCTGTCCTGGAGGTGGAGGAAGGACAGAGATGGATCCTTCTAATGGGTTTGTCTCTGCTTCCTTTTGAGAGTCTACTCTATATTGCATAAGACATACTTAGCGCAGAACCATATATGAGGCTCTGGCCACATGAACTTATACTGCGTCTGACATTCAACAAGTGTTCAGTCAATTCCAGGAAAGTCAAACTGTGGACCAGGGCTTAAATTCAGCAATGTGTTTAGTGCCCATCTTTGTGTATTTACTTCTAAAATTCCTTGAGGACAGAGTAGTGGTTAAGTTGCTCACTGTTCTATCTTCATTCCTAGCACAGTGTTGGGCATAGAACAAGCACTTACTCACTTAGTAAGTGTCTGTACAATGAACAAACGAGCCAGTCTCTCATATCTGTCATAAGCAATGCTCACCGTTCTCCTCTTTTATTGCTTCAGTGAGGTGGTGGGCCTCCTCCTGTATGCGTTCTTCTAAGCTCTTCTTTCCTAAACCAAAGTTCCTTAGTGTTGTCAGAGTGAACCTTCTTTGCTCCTTCCATACCTGGCCATTTGACATAATCAATCCTCGGAAAAAGAAAGTTAACATTATGGTATTCTGATTTCATAATGTGAATATTCAGCAAATGAATGATATGGGGACGTGTATCAGGTGAAGGACAGAAGAAGACCATTAAGGCACTTGAAAACTGCAAAGAGAAATAGTACCAGAGCAATGAATATAACGGCTAACATTTATTGATTCCTCTCAGGCACTTTAACATGTATTTCGTTGTGTGTTATATAATTTAGCACTCATAGAAACTCTTTGGGATATGTACAATTATTACCATCCCCACCCACCCATTTTACTAATGAAAGAACTGAGGAACAAGGGATAAAGAATAAAGTGCACTTTCCAATGTCTCACAGTACATAAGCAACTAAATAGGTGTTCAATTTCAGGTCTGCCTAATTCCAAAGCTCATGCTTTGATGATTAGTTACATAAGTAAAATTAATATTTAGGTTATGCTAAACACTAGGAATGCACCACTGGATAAGACAATGTCTATACTCTTAAAGAGGCTAAGAAAGGCTTTATAGGAGAGGTCCTATCTAAGCTGGACATTAAAAGATGATGGAAGGGCTCAAGAGAGTAAGTGAAAGTTCCATAAAGAAAGAAGAGTACAAGCAAAGAAAATAAATTTTTTGGTGCATTTAACAGACCATCATTTGCTTTATAACACAGGTAATGCCACACTCCTTTCAATTTATTCAATTCCAGAGCACTCCTCAACACCTTTTAATATCTGACTTTAGCCTTCTCACCCAATGAATTGGTGCTCCTTGTTGCCATATCCAGGGAGACCTTTTGACCTCATCTTACCTGGTGCAGCATTAGACATGTCTTTCTTGAAATACTGCCTTCCAGTGTGCCTAGGATACCACTCTCTCCAAATTTTCTTCCTAATTCTCTGCCAGCAACTTCCTATATCTTCGCTGGTTCATCTATGAAATCTTGAAACGGTGGAGTTCTTCAGGAACTTCTTCATCTAAAACCTCTTTTTTTCCTCATCCTATACTCTATTTCTGAGAAATCTTATCAACTCCTAAAACTGTAAATAACATCTATTGATAGTGACCATCTATTTCTGTCCCTGATCTCCAAAAGCATATATATAACACTGCTCGCTTGACTTTGCTGACTTAAAGGCATTTTGAATTCTGCATATCCATGACTGAACTCACAATTTTCTCCTTAAGACTTATCACCCATGCCCAGCTAAACCAAATACCTTGTCCTCTTCGAAGTGTTCCTTCTTTCCATCACCTACCCTTTTGAGTGCCACCTCAATACCTGCTTTTCTCTGCACCCAGGTCATCATGTCTTATGAGGTGTACCTCCTGGATATCTAAAATCCAGGTGTACCCTGTCACTATCTTGATCTAACCTACTGTTATTTCCCTACTATTATTGGACACCCTAGCCCGAGCTACCATTGTCTCTAACCTAAAATGCTACAAAAGTCATTGGCTCCTTTTCTTCTATTCTCTAAATGGCAGCTCCAATAAATCCTAGAAATCTACAGTGTAAATATGATAATTCCCTTCTCTACTTAAAGCCATTCAAGAGCTTCCATTAATGTTAGGATAAAAACTAATATTCTAACAGGAACTTTCATGAGCTACTCCTGACCAAGCTACTCCTCACCAAGCTTAGCAGCTTCCTGTCTTTAATTATCTCTTTTTAATTCACATGCTTGCCATGTTGGCCACCTTTCATTTCTTCACATTCCTTGTCCTTTTCACTTCAGGGACTTTTCATAGTCTATTCTGTCTACCAGATTGTTTTACCAGTTTATTAAATCAATAGTTATTTACTTACTTTTTCTGCATCCTAGGAATACATTAGTAAGTACATCCTGCACTCGAATTTATAACTGTAGGCTTCTAATTCTTACAGTTGACTGATACCATTTTTCTCTCTGCATAGAATATAAGCTACATAGGACATGGATTTTTATCTCTTCTACTCACTGTTACATCACTCATGCCTAGTACTGTGCATCACAAATCAGATAATACAGTGAATGGATATGGAATTAATTGATGAAATATTTCAAAGAATTGAGAAGCACCTAAAAGTGGTGCTTTGATAGAGTCATAGATTTGAGATTTTCATTTCAAATTTTCAATGTTTCAGTATATTTAATGGTAATTTTCACTGTTCATGCCAATCTGTTCTAACATAGACCGGAAAGCTCAAGATCATCTGTGGGCGACAACCTTAATGAAAGAGAATAAGGAACTAGAGACAAGAGGAAGCAGCAGCAGATGGAGGCAGAGCCACATCCATTTTCCTAAGGGAAGAAGGTTGGAAGAGGAAAGCAGAGAGAAGATATTCCTCTGCTATAAATGGATAATGTGGTTACTTCCTTATAAAAGCATCCAGAGTCGGTTTGGGCAGGGCATGGGGCTTCTCCCAAATCCAAGTTAGGGATGGTTTTATCAAATCCTCCGAGGGAGTGGCTTCAATCAGGAAACGTGAATATCCAGCTTCCTTTAATGGCAGGAAGTTTACAAAGGGGCTGGTTTCTGGGAGTGTTGGAAAATTAGTCACCAAGATGCCTTCAACAGACTATAGGAATATCAATATCAAACACCCACCTTTCATTGGCCAAGAAACTTACCATTGTTCTTAAAGATACGTTCTCTTATAGGGGTCACGGGGCGGTTCCCAAAGTTTTGGTCCATGTGGATAAGGGCTTCTTTGATTAAGGGCAAGCCAGTAATAAGAACTGCAGAAAAGCTACCAAGCTCCAAGCTAAAAAGGTTCCCATATTTCTTCACAAACTGAAAAACAGTTAAATAGCAATAGGTGAATATACACATGTTCATGTGTTCAGAGATGGAGGATGGGTATGTGTAGCTGGGGGACTTATATTGAGAGGAGTGTGTGTGTGTGTATGTATGTGTACATTCATGTCATAGGAATGATTTTATTTCATTTTCTCCTCCTATCAACAAGGCTCAGATTCAATTCACTTCAGGATATGAAAGTTTCCTTATAAAGTATCTGTTTATATATTCAACCAACATGAATTGAGTGAGCATCTATCATGTGTCTCTAGAGCAAGGCATGAGGATAAAACTGTAATAAATAGATAAGATCTGGCCATGTGCAGTGCCTCATGCCTGTAATCACTTTGGGAGGCCAAGGTAGGCAGATTGCTTGAGCCCAGGAGTTCGAGACCAGTCTGGGCAACATGGTGAGACCTTGTATTTAGAAAATAATAAAAAATTAGCTGGGTATGGTGGTACATGCCTGTCATCCCAGCTACTCAGGAAGCTGAGGTGGGAAGGTCACTTGAGCCTGAGAGATTGAGCCATGATCACGCCACTGCACTCCAACCTGGGTGATAGAGTGAGAGCCTGTCTCAATCTATAGACACAGTAAACAAGATTTCTAACCCCAAGCATCCTAGAGTCTAGCGAATAGAGAGAATTCAGCACATCTGAATTCTCATCTGAACACTAATTGTGTCTCAGCCACTTAAGAAGGCTGACATGTGATTAGTGTTAATCTGATGTACCAACCATGGACTTCTTAGTAAATCATAAATAGCTGTTTAACCAAAAGAGAAAGTCCCCTTCCTAGACTGAACATAGATAATAGAAACATATGCTAGATAATAGAAGGTGCATTATAGGGTAGTGGCAATGCTTGGAGGAAAGCCCTTGAGCTCTGGAGTTATGTAATAGTCTGGCCTGTACAGTTCAATCATTCTAGGCTCTTGGGGAAGTTGCTATATTTTCTGAGCCTCAGCTCCCCAGCTATCAAAGAGAGAAAATTATTTCTTAGTCTTAGGGTTCTGCAAGGAAGAATGAGAGCAGCAATGTGAAAGGCACTTTGTTTTCTGGTTCCAGGTGCACAGCCACCCAGAGAGTCTCTGAGGAATGAAAGAGTTCTGTGACCAGAGGGCTGTGGATGCATTCTCATGGTGGCAGAGAGGACAGGAGCCCATTGGTGTGTGGGAAGAAGGCATTCATGGTCACAGGCAGCCCTTGCTAACCACCTTTCATGTTTTATCTCATTAATCTCACAACCACTCTATAGTAGTATTAATTTTTCTCATCTTTCAAGAAGGAAAATGAGTCATAGCTGAAATAACATAGCCAAGGTGACAAAGCTATTGAGTGGTGCAGGGAAATTGCCAGGCATTGTGTAAGAATTGACGACAAAGATATGAATCTGAGATGGCTCCAGAACCTTAGAGTTTCGTGGGAGTGATAGAGTGAAAGTAAGAATGAGTGAGAGTGAGAGAGTTGGGATGAGAGAGAGAGAATGGGGGTGTGTTATGTTCAGGAATATGCACAAGTGTGCAAATATCTGCAAATATGGGTTGGAGGATAGTGTACCTTCATGAATCAAAATCCTTCCTCATCTATCTATTCAACGAAGGGGCATAAGTAGACCCTGATCCTGCCTTTTGTCTGTCTGGGTTGTGTCTCGCTGCAGGCAGTGGTAACAATCCAAAGGGCTCCATTTCCTTTAGATGTGTGTGGCCTCTTCTCCCCAGTCCAGATGCCTTTGAACTTACACTTCACCATGTTCCTCTTAGAGTCCTGTGCCTAATGGTCCCCATCAGAGCAAGTACAATGAATTCAGTATCATCCCACCACCTTGTTCCCACATTAAAGACCAAGCCCCAACTCAGTTCTTGTATTCTTTTGACCCAGAGTCCTTGAGTCCTTGATCAATCTTTTTTTTTTTTTGAGACGGAGTTTCACTCTTGTTACCCAGGCTGGAGTGCAATGGTGCGATCTCGGCTCATTGCAACCTCCGCCTCCTGGGTTCAGGCAATTCTCCTGCCTCAGCCTCCTGAGTAGCTGGGATTACAGGCACGTGCCACCATGCCCAGCTAATTTTTTTTTTTTTTTTGTATTTTTAGTAGAGACGGGGTTTCACCATGTTGACCAGGATGGTCTCGATCTCTTGACCTCGTGATCCACCCGCCTCGGCCTCCCAAAGTGCTGGGACTACAGGCTTGAGCCACCGCACCCAACCTGATCAATCTTTATCTCCTACACAGCATGTCCTGTCCTGCTAGAAAGCGCAGAACTGAGATTCAATCTCAAGTCTGTTTGCTCCTAAACTATGTGGCTTTGATTCTAAGAAATGGCAGTAATGGGATCATACACATTAAGCACATTTTGTTTTTTATGTTCCCTTGCTGAATTCCTAGATGAACTTCTTAGGCCTGACAAGAAGGATTTCTTGACTAATGTAGAACATTAAATAAAAATGCTTTTTGAATAGCTGGAAAATCTCAGGTTACGTTAAATGACTTCTAACTGGCGAAGTACACAGCCTAGAATCTCAGAACTAGATCAAAAACTTGTATGGTATCATCAACTGTTTAAACACTGGGTAGGTAGGAGCCCTGGGATGAGGATGGCGGTGTCTAGCAATTCTTATGTGTGCCCTGTCAGTCTTTATACCAATTGCTTTAGAAAAATTCAGTGACACAGAGGGCCTCTGAGAAGACTTTGTAAGGCAGAGCACACTTTTCAATTGTATATCATTAATTGAGCCATGAAAACAACCCTCAAAAGAATAAGGAAACAAAAAGAGGTAAAAAAAAAAAAAAGATGCTTTAAAAGGCAAAAACAGGCATAAAATCAGAAGTGAAAATAGAAAAAGAAAAGAACTGAAACACAATGTATAAAAGTCAAACAAAAGCAATAAAAGACAGTAAATGTACTGTTAAGAATAAAAATTCCAACTGTGGCATTAGCATTTAAAAAACAAAATAAATGTTTACAGCAAAGAGGAAGAAGTAAAGAATTAGCGGAAGACGAGATTGAACTACCAAACTGTGGCTACCAAGAGATAAAAAATTGACAGAGATTCCACTGAATCTCAATCCTTAAATTTAAGAATCAACAGAACAAAGACATGAAAAGAGGAAAAGAAAAACAGGAACACTGTGTGCTAATTCACACTCTTGCCAGCAGTAGATCAGAAGGCCTGTTCCCCTGAACTCTAACCAACACTGAGCTCTCTGTTGTGTGTGTGTGTGTGTGTGTGTGTGTGTGATCCTAATAGGCATGAAAATGCATGCTGTTTCTTTATTTCTCTAAGGTTTAACATCTTTCCCTCAATCTGGATGTTGTATTTTTAAGTCACATGTTTATGTCTCTCAAACACTTCTGTATCAAGGTATTCAACATTTTTCTCATTGATACATAGAATTTCTGATAAAATGTTGAAAATATAATTTTATTTTTATTTACATGCAAATCTGGAAAGATATCTACCAACGTCGTACAGAGGTACTGCTAAGTGTGTGTGTGTGTGTGTGTGTGTGTGCGCGCGCGCATGTGCACACGTGCACACATGAACAGTGGTTACAGGGTGAGCACAAGGCCAGGTAAGAGTCTCTCTCTCTTGTTAAACTGTCTTTTAATATGTTGTCTCACTGTGTATGTAATGGCTTTATAGTTGAAAAGCTGTTTTATCCAATAAAGAATAAAAAAGAAAATAAGGAAATGGGGAATCAAGCTTTAAAACAGTAGTTGTTTACCTTTTTGAGTTAAAGAATCCTTTGAAAATATAATCTATATCATAGACCTACTCTCCAGGAAAAACATACATAACTATACACATCAACAGCTTTGCATGCAGTTTCAGGAGCTGCCAGTCCTCTGTGGCCCATGAACTCCTTCTGAGAATAATGATCTCACAGGTAGTTCTTGGGGTTTCTAAAAACAGGCTGTGGAAATCTAATTCATGTTCAATTTAACAGGATTTTATGAGATGCTTAAGAGTTACCAGGAACCTTCTGGCACTGGTATATTACATGTGGAGGTAAGATCAATATGATATGATGTTTTCCTAAAGTGTCAAAGTCTCTTGGGAGAGACTGTGCAGAAAATAAAAATTGGAATGCACAGCAGATGACCTGTGTTATTATCCTGATAGAGAGGGACATAAAGCTATCACAAGAAGAGACGATTTTCTACCACAGATATAAGAAAAAGATATTTTTAAAGAGTAGATGGTATCTGAGCCAGATCTTAAATGAAGGCCATAATGCCACCAAAAACAAACAACAAACAAACAAGCAACAATGCCCAAACCACAACGATAATAAAAAACAGGTAGCAAGAAACCAAAGGCATTCTAGGTTGTGGGAACATCATATGTAGGTGTAAAGGTGAAATGCAGAAGATGTTTGGGAGCAAGAAAGCCACCTTGTCTGACTGAAGCATAGGGTTCATTAGTTAAGAGCAGTGACCATGTGGCAGGTCAAGGCCAGATGCTGGGGAATGCAACAAGTCCTTAACTTCAAGAAGCTCACAATCTAATGGAGCATGTAGATAAATAATCACTTCTCATTATTACCATTCTTTACAATACAATATCTGGTGGGAGGAAGTTAGGAATCACATAAAGGATCCAGGGTTGAGGCAAGTTCCTGGGAAGAGTATGTTCGCAGTTGATAAGGGGGATGGGAGACAAGGCTGACAAGGTAATCTGAGCTAGGCTGAGCAGAGTCTTAACAGTAGGTATAATGTTTTGGATGTTGTTTGGTTCTCAATCAGAATTCTAAGTTAATTGTGTAGGAGAGTTGTTTAAGTAAGTGAGGACTTAAGAGTTTGGGTTTTGAAGTTACACATACTTCTATGAATCCAGGTTCTGCTTCTTACTTTCTGTGTGATTTGAGAGAAAGTTATTTAACTTTTTTCCATCTTAGTTTCCAAATCTATAAAATGGACAATTGTTATTAGTTTCCATATTTAGTGTTATTGTAAGTAATCATAATACTAAAATTAATAATAAAATTATTATGGCTCAGACCATTTTCTCCTATTAAAAATCTCCTGTCCCTTTACTCCATTTAGCCACTTGCCAAAAATCAAAATTTCTTTTAAAATTCAGCACAATTTATTCCAACATTCTACTAAAGGTTATCCCCAGGGTTTCTATTCAGTGATCCAGTCTCTTGATATCCCTTTTGGTTACCAAGACTCTACACTATACATTTAATCATACACTGCCTTGTACTTTGCCTGGTATATGATAAACACTTAACAAATGTATGTTGAATGAATAGAATAAATCAACTCTCCTCTATCCATGTCATAAAAAGTCAGGCAGTATAAAGTAGATAACAGATGTACAAATCAAATAATCTCAGGTTCAAGTCCTTGTTTGTTATTATTTAGCTGAGTAACCTGGGCAGTTCACTGTTTGTTCTCAGCCAGTTTTCTCCACGGTAAAATAGAAGCACCACCAAATCACACCAAACTTCTGTGCCTATCATGAAGATGAATTGAAAATTGACATAAAAATCCTTATGTAAAATCTATTAGTTAATACTTAATGTTTCCCAATTGCAAGAATGTAAATTTAATTATAACTACATTACATCATTTAACTCCATTTGTTTTACACCCAGAAATATAAAAATGCAAATCTATATAAAATAAAAATAAACAGTGATTGTTGTGATAAAAAGTCACAGGGCCAGGGATGAGATCCTAATCTCAGTTTTATTACTGGCTAGTTTTGTGACATTAGGCAAGTCATTTAACTTCTCTAGAAACACCTATCTTAGGAATACAACAAAGGTGCAGAACAAGCTTCTTATTTCAGACAAGACCGAATAAAAGCATTCCATTTTACTTCTATTAATCATGACACCAATTAACGCAGACAAAAATATCTTCAAGAAAAGTCTACTCTCTCTAGCCGAAGGACCAGGAAAAGGAAAGCCCGACAGGACAGAAACCATTTTTCCTTTTTACTTCTTTGTTGTGGCGGCAAATACCATGAAAAACATATGAACATTCCCAACTCTTAAAGGTCCTACAGCACTGGAGTACATGGATGGTACCTTATCTTTTCACCCTACATTGCAATAACGAGGTAGTACTCGTCTCTGCTGAGTCTGTGAGCTGAAATTTGAGTTCTATTCCTAAGCTGGAGTAAAGAAACCCCTGCAGTAGTTAGAGGGCAAATGAGGATTTTCAGCCTTCTTCCATAGTAATAAGGAGGTGTACTTCCTCTTGGAGCAGATATGGGCAGATCTCTGACTTTCTTCCTTCTGTAGTAAAGAATAAGCTACTATAGCAGAGGGATCTCTGTCTTCTATTCCATCTTCCTTTTCCCCAGCTTGCACTGATGAGAATGTGAAATGGATTTCTGTGGGAGAGGGTAATACAAAGTGGAGTAGACAAGAATAGTACTGCAGAGGCTTTATATCCTGCATTGACATTTGAACTGCTACCCACAAAACTAAGCATTCAGAATCTAAATAGGCTATATGCTAACATAAAAGATCTGTACAGTGTCCAGGGTAAATCTTAAAACAAATATATAAAGTGTCCAGGATATACTCCATAATTATTCACCTTACCAAGAATCAGGAGAATATAAATTTGAATGAGTTGACACCAACACTGAGATGACACAGATGTTGAAAATGTAGAATAATTACATATTTTAAAGCAGCTGCTATAGAACTTTTCCAATAACTATGAACACTCTTAAAACAAATAAAACATTAGGAAATTTTAACAGAGAAATATAAGATAAAGAAGAACCAAGTGAAAATTTTAAAATTGAAAATACAATAGAATAAATTTAAAAATTCAATAAAATAGCTCAGTAGCAGAATCGTAATGATAGAAGAATCTGTGAAATTGAAGACAGGTCAGAAGAACAAATTCAAACTAAATAACATGAGAAATTACATTGGAAACCACAAAAACTGAGAGTCTCAGGAACTTTTGGCATAAGAAGAGATCTAACATTTGTGCCATCAGTATCCAAGAGTACAAGAAAGAAAGAAAAAAGAATTCGTAGTTGAAAAACATATGAAAAAAGAGTGGCTGAAACTCCCTCAAACTGGCAAAAGACAAGTCTATAGATTCAGAAACCCAAACAGAATAAACCCAAAGAAAATGGCACCAAGACCTATCAAAATTAAACCTCTGAAAATTAAAACAAAGAAAATTTCTTGAAGGAAGACAGTGAAAAAAGGCTCATTACATAAGGGGGATAACAATTCAAATGACAGTAGATTTCTTAACAGGAAGCACAGAGGCCAAAAAGAAGTAGCATAACATTTAAAAATGTTGAATGAAAGGAATTGTCAACCTAGAATTCTATGTCCAGTGAAAATATACTTCAGAAATGAAGGTGAAATAAAAGCATTCTTAAATGAAGGAAAGCTAAGAGAATTTCTTGTCAGCACACCTGCACTAATGACTAAAGAGAGTTCTTCAGATCTGAAAGGATATGATGAATTTCAGAAATTAAAACATCAGAAATGAAAAAAGATAAATGCAAAGGGTAAATGAATAAATACAATAGACTATTATTGTCTTGAGTTTTCCAAATTGCATTTAACATTTAAAAGCAAAATTATAATATCTGATGTAGTTTTCAATGTATATAGAAATAGCACTTATGACAATGATAAAGTGGAGAGGGTAAAGGAACTAAATGGTTGCACAATATCTGTATTTCACTTAAAGTGGTAAAATTTTGACACTAATAGACTGCAGTCAGCTACATTTGCATATTAAAAACCTCAGAGCAATAACTTGTAAATCACTATACAAAGACAGATGCTAAAATATACCTCAGTAAAAATAAGAATAAAATTATTTTTAATATGTTCAAATAATTCAAAGGAAGACAGGAAAAGGAAAACAGAGGCATAAAAACAAGGAAAAACCAAATAAATGATAAAATGGTAGACAAACCTTAATATGTCAATAATTACATTAAAAATAAATAGTCTACATTCACCAATTAAAAGACAGAGATTGGCAAATGAAAAAAATGACCCAAGTATATGCTGTCTTCAGGAATCTAATTTCAAGTACAATGATACAAGCAGGTTAAAAGTTAAAGAATAGAAATGCACATACCATGCACATACTAATCAGAAAAAAGTTGTGGCTATATTATATCAGATAAACTAAAGTTTAGGCAAGTAAAATTATGAAGAATTAAGAGGGACATTACAGGATAAAATGATCGATTCACTAAGAAGCCATGATAATCTTAAATGTGTATGTACAAAACAAGAGAGTTTCTAAATACATGAAGGAAAAACTACTAGAACTGAATGAAGAAATAGACAAACTCTAAATTGTTCTTGACAACTTCAACATTCCTCCTTTAGTAATTGATAGACTTAGTAGATAAGAAGTCAGCAAGGATATAGGCAAACCAAACAATATCATTGCCCAATAAAATCAAATTGATATTTACACCGACAATAATTTATAGCAATTACTCCACCCAACAATAATCAAATACACATTTTTTTCCAGGCTGCATGGCACATTTATCAAGATAGACTATATCTCGTGTCATTTAACCAACCTTAACATATTTAAAAAACTGAAATCATACGAAGTATGAAGTTTGACCATAATGGAATCAAACTGAAAATAATTAACAGAATGATGACAGGAAAATCTCCACATACTTGAAAACTGAACAACATATTTATTAAACAAGGGCAAAGGTTTGGGAGCTTAGCTTTAATATTCTAATTCTGTCACTTAGTAACTTAGTATTACCAGTTGGGTATTTCTCCCATAAAGTGATAAAGCTTGGTCTATCAATATTCGAGTACAATATACAGCCATGTGTTTAAAGTACTGCATGTGTAGGGAAAGGGAAACTAATATTTGTTATGTATCAACTATAAGCCATGTCAAAGTGGACCATTCACTATTTATTCTTCATAATCACTTGTCATTGTGTTGTCTCTCAGCAAGGTGTCTGCGCTGAGTAGCAGGAAAACCAGCATTGGTTTCTTGAAATAGGGTTTGAAGTCTGAGAGAACTTCAAAGAATTTCGTCACCAGAGGTGGGAAGCCCTGATAGGAGATTATTGTATAGAGGTGGAAAGAGGCTGCGTCAGGAAGCGTCCCAGGTGGGCGTCTCAAGTCAGGAGTCTGAACACCGTTTGGCAAAATTTAAAACAGAGGGAGAACATTTGAAAATTACTTAGTGAGAGGGTGCACTGCACGGGAAGGAAGCTGAAGGTGGAGGACTCATTTAGTGTAGTGGCAACAACCCAGCTGAGAAATGGTGAAGATTGAGGTAGCAGCATGGCCACTTTATGTAAGGGCAATGAAGCTTCTCAGAAGGAAAGTATAGCGCTTTTAAGGACAATCATATAAAAGAGGCCAAGGTAATCACATTATAAATAAGATGTTCCAATAATGTTTAATATCACAACATGCAAAATAGTAAATATTTGATAACATTCCATCCCTAAAAAGTGCAGGTGGAATCATGCCAGTTAATGGGTTAGGAAATGAAATTCAAAGCGGGTTTTACCAGGTTACCAGCGTAAGCCATACCTCTTTCTGCCCTTTAACCCCCGACCCACGTTCCCGGAACATCCCTCATCCTGCAGAACAGGGTTAGGGTCAGATCGCGCTAGGCACCTTCTCCCGCTCCTACCGGCTGAATATCCAGGTGCGACTTCTCGAAGTCCAAATGGAAGAAGTTGCCAAAGAAGGGCAGGCCCCAGGGCCCCGGCGGGTAGTTCTTTGGGCGCCGTCTTTTGAGAAAGTCAGCAAAGAGCAGAAAGGCGACAGTGCCCAGCAGGAGAGTCCGAGGACTGAGCACTGCCCAGAGGGCAGCCGTCAGGGAGCCCATCGCTGCGAGTATGTCCTGGACGTTCTCCTGCTCTTCCGCGGTCAGAGCAGGAGAGGGTCCCCGCAGCGCCTCCCCGCCCCGCCTCGCCGCCCCGCCCCGCCGCCGCCCCGCCGCCGCCCCGCCGCCCCGCCGCCCCGCCACCCCGCCCCGCCCCGCCGCCCCGCCCCGCCGCCCCGCCCCGCCGCCCCGCCCCGCCCCGCCGCCCCGCCCCGCCCCACCGCCCCGCCCCGCCCCACCGCCCCGCCCCACCGCCCCGCCCCGCCCCGCCGCCCCGCCCCGCCCCGCCGCCCCGCCCCGCCTCGCCGCCCCGCCCCGCCCCGCCGCCCCGCCCCGCCTCACCGCCCCGCCCCGCCTCGCCGCCCCGCCCCGCCCCGCCGCCGCCCCGCCGCCCCGCCTCCCCGCCGCCCCGCCTCCCCGCCGCCCCGCCGCCCCGCCGCCCCGCCTCCCCGCCGCCCCGCCCCGCTCCGCCTCACTCCCAGCCCCACCCCGCCTCCCAGCCCCGCCGCACTCCCAGCCTCGCCCCGCCTCCCAGCCCCGTCCCGCTGCACCCCCAGCCTCGCCCCGCCTCCCAGCCCCGCTCCGCCACACCCCAGCCTCGCCCCGCCTCCCAGCCCCGTCCCGCCTCACTCCCAGCCTCGCCCCGCCTCACTCCCAGCCCCGCCCCGCCTCACTCCTAGCCTCGCCCCGCCTCCCAGCCCCGCCTCACTCCAGCCTCGCCCCGCCTCATTCCCAGCCTCGCCCCGCCTCCCAGCCCCGCCTCAATCCAGCCTCGCCCCGCCTCTCAGACCCGCCCCGCCTCACTCCCAGCCCCTCCCCCTCCCAGCCCTACCCGCTCACTCCCATCCCCGCCACACTCCCTGCCCCGCCCCGCCTTGCAGCCCCGCCCCTTCACAGCACCCAGCGGAGATGCCAGGTGCTGGATTCCCGGGGAGGACACGCACCGGCCTTAGAAAAGGCCAGGCTAGAAGCAGTTTCTTTTCCATTTAGAAAGCCCATGGGTTTACAGAGAGGACCACAGACGTTTGGGCCTCTGTTGTTCAATCAAACTTCTCTCCCGTGATTGGAACCGTGCCTGGTAAATAGTGATGACAACAGCAGTACCTAACATTTCTTGGGCTCTTACTATACGCCAGGCAGCATATCCACCTCTTTACATAAATTATCATTTCATTTTGATAAAATTATGCAATAGATGCTCTCAGTAGTCTCATCTTGCAGTTGAGGAAGCAGAAAACTTAAGTACTAAGGATGTGGTAAACAAATCCACCCTTCCGAAAGACATCTAAAAGAGGTCCTGTATTTGAAAGTGTTTGGAAGATTAAAAGGCGCTACATCAAAGCTGCTAGCACTGAGCAGCGTCCAAAATGAGTGCTTAATTAACATTTGTTGAAGGAATGTCTTAGTCCTGATCCTTACTGGTTTACTCTGTAAGGCTCCTCTCCGAAGCCCCAAGACTGTGGGACCACCAGGTTCCAGCCTTTCATACTGTTTGGTGAGTGACTGCTTGGGTCTCACAAATGGTGAGACTCAAAACAGAAAACATAGTTTTGGAATAGTATAGTACGCACTTATGTGCTTAACACAGAGACACATATTCTGCTTACAATATTTTATTTTATTTATTTATTTTTGAGACAGAGTCTTGCTCTGTTGCCAGGCTGGAGTGCAGTGGCATGATTTAGGCTCACTGCAACTTCCGCCTCCCGAGTTCAAGTGTTTCTTCTGCCTCAGCCTCCCATGTAGCTGGGACTACAGGCACATGCCTGTGTTTTTAGTAGAGATGGGGTTTTGCCGTGTTGGCCAGGTTGGTCTCGATCTACTGACTAGAGGTGATCCACCTGCCTCAGCCTCCCAAAGTGCTAGGATTACAGGGCATGAGCAAGAAATGAAATGAGAATTGAAGTCTCTTGCTCTCTTTCTAAGGTCCAGAGAGAAATATTGGTCAGAGCTTGGCTTGTATCCTTCTAGTCCTCATTTTCCTGTTTTACTACAGCTGTTATGCATTCATACAATATTTCTAATATTTATATATTATATTTTTTACAAGAATTATTCTACAACTTTTTTTTTCTCTCTCATGATTGTATGTTTGAGTTTTATCCTGATTGACATATGTGGCTCTAATTTATTTAATTTAATAGATGGACAGTATTCTATTATTATGCCACAATTTATTTGCTCATTTCCATATCAATGGGAATCAAGTTTGTTATTTCTCTCCTTCCCTTCTATGTTTTGCTTTAAAAAATGATACAGGGCAATGACTTCCGTAACAGCAGCATGAGAAACCCCGCAGTACCTCTTCTTGGTAAAAATCTGTGATTGCTAAAAACTATTTATAAAACTAAAATAATTTAAGTTCCTGAAAATTGTTCTAAAGGCATACAGTAAATAAATAAATTTTATTTAAGAAAAATTTACTTAACCCTGGTAAAGACAGTAAGAGTCCGTGGCATTTGAACAATAACCCACTCCTTCTCCTAGTCCCCAGATCAATGTGACCGAAACCCCATTCTAGTCAGTTATATCAAAGAACACTTCCCTAGCTCCCAGAAGAAGGCTACAGTATCTCCCTGAGAGGAAAAATCTACTGGCATTTCTCATACCCCGCCCCCCAGAATTTCATGTTGCAGAAGCTCTATTCTAGACAAGACTGGCTAAGAGGTCTAGGGGTAACCTCCTCTGTCCAGCTCTGTCTTGTAAAGCAGAAATAGTACCTACTCCAGGCCATCAGGCTGGGAATACTGAGCCATGGTTTTCCTCATCTCAGCTTGCTCATGAGGTAGAGGTTCCACACTGGGAGAAGTTAGCCACGAACAACAGAGATGAATGCCAGAAACAATAGAGATTTTGGTGGTAAGCAATTAAGAGGAGGCTGGTAGTTCCATGAGAACAAGAAGCTAAACCATAGGGTAGCTAGAAGTTTGCCAGGGTAAATCAGCATAAGAGATAGCCAAGAAGAGCCTTCCTGGGCAGGAACAAATCTCAAAGAATGGCCTCAAGGACTAATCCTGAGAATAAGCACAAATTTAACTGGAGGAAATTGTGAAGCAATATATGCCCCAAGGCATTGTTGAAAACAATAGAGCAATCAGCTGGAAGTCAGTGTGTAATACCAACGGAGGCAGACAGTTTTAACTATAAAACAGAAAAAGAATTCAAAGAGAGCCCTTCTAAAACCAATGTCATTGTGTTGTGAATGGTGCATACCCAAGTCCATGTCCTCAGAGAAGTGACATCAGAGGCTTTACACTATAGAGAAAGTAACGTTTCACTAAATTAGTCAGTCTTGCCAAGTCTGTAAACAAATAAAAATATAAACAAAAAGAACTGGGAGAAAAGGGCAGATCATTAGCCATAATTGCCATAATATATTATCTAAAATGTATAGTTTTCAACAAAAAATGGTAACACATGTAAAAAAGCCAGAAAGTGTGAGCCAATAAGGAAAAATTAGGCAACTGAAACTTCCTGAGAGACAGCCCAGATGTCAAACTTAGCAAAGACTGTAAAGCAACTTAATTATAAATATGTCCAAAGAACTACAGTAAACTGTGGTGAAGGAAGTAAAGGAAGGTATGAGACAATGTTTCAACAGATAGATGATCTCAATGATGAGATAGAAATTATTTTAAAAAGTGGAATTTTGGATTGAAAATTGCAATAACTAAAATAAAAAAAAAATCACTACAGGAATCAACAGTAGATGTAAAGTAGAAAGGAAAGAATCAATGAACTTGAGGATAGCTTGATAGAGATTATGCAATGTAAAGAACAGAGACAGAAAAAAATGTGGAACATCATTAAACACACCAGCATATATGTAATCAGAATACCACAGAATATAGCAGTGAGAAAAGAGCAGAAACATATTTGAAGAAATAATGGCTGTAAAATTCTCCAAATTTCATGAAAAACATTAATCTATGTATCCAAAAAGTTCAATAGGCCCTAAATAGGATAAATGCAGTGGAATCCATACTCAAATACATCACAGTAAAAATACTGAAAGACAAAGAGAAAATCCTACAAGCAGCATGAGAAAAACAGTTCATTCACATAAATTGGAACTCCAATAGATTAACAGCTGACTTGTAATTAGAAAGAATGATGCCCAAAAGGCAGTAGGATGATATGTTCAAAGTGCTAAAAGAAAAGAAAAAAACTTGGAAAACTGTTAACCCACTTGAGTTTGGTCCATCTCTTGGTTACTGTGAACAATGCTGCTCCAAATGAGGGTGTGTAAATATCTCTGAGATTCTCCTTTCAATTCTTTTGGGTGTGTTCCCAGAGATAGAGTTGCTGGATTACATGGTAGCTCTATTTTTAATATTTTTAGAAACAACCATGCTATTTTTTATAGTGAATACACCATTTTGCATTCCTGAAAGCTGTGCCCAAGATTTTCAATATCACCACAACTTCATCTGTATTTGTTATTTTCTGTTATTTTTGTTATGCTATTCATCCTAATATGTATAAAGTAGCATCTTATTGTAATTTTGATCTTAATTTCCCTAATAATTAGTGATGTTAAATATATTTTCATGTTCTGGTTGGTCATTTGTATATCTTCTTTGGAAAAATATGTATTCATGTTCTTTGCCAATTTTTAATTGGGTGGTTTGATTTTTTTACTGTTTAATTATGGGTGTTATTTATGTATTCTCTATATTAATCTTATCAAATACATGATTTGTGAATGTTTTCTCCCTTAAAAAAAAAGTGTCAGGCAAGAATCTTATATGCAGCATATGGTTTATTTTTTAAAAAATGAAAGCAAAAACAGCTATCTCCAAATTAAAAAATACAACCACTGAGAATTTATTGCTAGCAGACTTTAAGAAATACTTAAGAATGTCCTTAGATGGAAAGGAACTGACCTTAGCTAGTAATTAGACACTATGTGGGAAACACAAATTGCAAAGTTAATTATGCAATTGTAAAAGGTGGCATAAATGTGTATTTCTTCTCTTTTCTCCTCTTGACTGCTATAAAGAGTATTTGTACATATGTCTGGTTTCCAGTCCAGTGTGAATGGAGCTTGGAAGTCATCACTCTTATCTTTGCAACAAGAAAAAAGC